ATATATATATATGTATATTTGTTTATTTATGTATATTTATGATATAAATAAAGTTGACCGGCAGAAGCTTCTCTCGGGACTCGAAGATCTGTGGGTTTCAGCAAAAGCTTATTTGAAGCTGCGAGCGGAATGGTAGTGAGGGCACTGTAGTAAAGATCGCAAAGATCTGCTGTGTTTCTTGAAATACTGGTTTTCCATGGTATCCTGTTAGCTTGCATGTTTGTTGTTTTCTTATTTTCGGAACCTACGCGGATACAGTCCTATTCGTCATGTGCTTGTGGACAGCAGCAGCAACAATAACAACTACAGCGAATCCCAGGAAGGTTGGAACATAAGTGATAGGATTCCGTATGCTTTACCTCAAGGGCATGAGGATATTGATGTTCAAGCTTTCTGGCTTCTACTGTAGAGTGACACAACGACAAGGTCGGACCAATCCTTCGGTTATGCTCATGCATGTGGTCTTCTGTTGTAGTAGCAACTATTGAACCCCAAAATCAGCCAACACTAGTGCATGCTGTTGGTGTAGACACAACTCAATGGAATCCAATCGTCTATGAATATGGAATCAAAAAGGTTCTCTACGCCAGATTTGCATGTAAGGCCATGACATAGCTATGTAGCCTATATATGTTTTCAACCTTAAGGCAAGTGTATAAACAGGCCTATCTATGTATCTAAGAATCTGCCCGTCTGCCTTTGGCGAACATTTGAGAATGCTGCGCATGTTTGCACATCAGAACTTTTCAAAACATATCTATATCCCCTTTCTTGGTAATGTATTCATTCTACTCGGCCAAAACTAGTGGAATTCGGTGGCGTACACAAACATGAACAACTCATAGTGGATACATAGAACCAGCTCATGAGAGCATGCAGAACATGTAGTGTTGCATGTCGCCATATAACATATAGACATGGTTATTGTATGCCGTCCTGTGAACTCGAGCACTCAATCTCTTGATATATCTTCTTGTGCATGTCTTTACATGCCTGCCTATCTATGTTTGGGAATATCGGCAGTATTGCACACATGTATATATGTAAGAGCAATCAAGATACGCTTGGACACATCTATGAATATATGGGTACACACATGACCTGAGCAAGACTTACACATCTGCTGCGTATTTACTACAAAGGCTTGCAAGAATAGCACATGCGGAAATTTTGATAGCATGTATAAAAGCTGTCTATGCAATATACACCTTCTATACCGACACAAGAACAACTCATCATGTCTGTATAGAAACAGCGCTGTCATAGGAGCATGTGTGGCATGTAGTATTGCATGTAGCCATTTCAATGTTTGCTGCATATATCTGTATATGTATACCTTTATGCGCCTATTTGTCTTGAGGAATATCAGCAATATTGCGCGCATGCACATATGTGGAAGCACATATAGGTACAATGAAGATCCATGTGGACACATTTATGACTCAGTCGGTACGAAGAAGAAAGCCAGATTTGTAATCATGCTGCATCATACTCATTATCAACGTATATAGACATGCATACATGTGCCATACATGATTACAGATACGTAAATAAGAACAGCCGGAAAGGATCCAAACCTGTAGTAGTACGGAAGCAGCACAGCAGAAACGACGTCCATGCAGTTCTTGTGTTCCAAGGTGCAGATTGCAGAAAATATACAATTTCAATATAGATTGCAATTTGCTCATCAACCGCACCAGCAGGGAAGACAGCATTATATCCATATTCAGTGTGTGGGGGCAATGCCGCGCGGCAAACCAGCAGCACAACCGCGAAGCAGCAGGTACCCAACCCAAATCCAGGCCCATGGTACGGTCCTCAGTTCGGCTGCTGTGTTTTTGTTTTTTGTGTTGGCCTGGTTTGGTCGTGTGTGTTTGTTTGTTTGTTTTGGGTTTCCTGTTTGGGTCTGTTCTGGTTTTACAGTGATTCAGACGCTGTATAGGTTTGATTCTTAAATGTTTCAGTAATGTCTTGAATGTATTTTGTATTTACTTTCTCTTAATTTGAAGTGTGATATTTGCGAAATATAGTGCGATAGCCATAGCATATACAGATCAATAAACTGAGACTGAAGCATAGACAAGTGTGGATCGGTAGGGGTTTACCATACATACATACATACATACATACTATATATATATATAGATAGATATACACGCTTATGGAGATGTGTTACCATTTTTGACACACATATATATGGCATGTGTCTCACTGCTATCCTCCAGACTTCGTGTTGGAGGACTGCAGGCAGGCCGGTCAGCACCAACGGCTCCGAGGGCATCGCGATACTGTCCTGACTCCCAGATCCCCTGCAGAGCGGTGCAGAGCGGTTGGGTTTGGGTCCAGGAATTCAGAATTCTTGCCCTGCAAAGGTCTGGTGCCTCGACTTACAGCAGAGACTTGGTTTGCTGGTGCATACCTCAACATGGAGTTTGGAGCTGTTCGTTTATGGTTGTGTCCGACGTCCGACGACTCTCCTGCTAAAGGCCAGTGCCGGTGGTGACAGGCTGGTGCTGCTTTGGAAGGCCGACGTGCAAATGGAAAAGTTGCGCGGGTTGCAATGTTTTTTCATCTTGCGGCACAGCACACCATCAAGGCTACCCTGACACAGACTGTCCACCAAGGAGGGAGGAAGGGAGGGGGAGAGAGAGAGAGAGAGAGACCCACTATCCCCGAAATGCCAGCAACTTGAAAGGTAGTGGCCGTGGTGTTGATACTTCTTGCTATTACTGTTGATTCTGTTGCTGTATCGCTACCACTATCATGCACGCTGGCAACCAAGGCAACTCAATGAAATGAAGTAGTTTGTATGTTGATGCTTATATTTCCCTTGTTAGCGAGTGTGCTCTCGTTTCCACTACAGAAGTTGCCTTGGTGGAGTGGTCTCTTTTCTCAAAGCCGCGACAAGCGCGCGGGCTAAGGGAACTTCCCTTAGCCCACAGCCCTGCCGAAAGAAAGACTGTGGGTCTGGGTGGGTGGGTTGGGTTGGTATGGGTTGGGTGGGGTGGGGTTGGGTAAGCTTTGCTTGCTACGACTGCTGTGGTGTAGCTGTGTAGCTGGGAAGTGGAGAGAGGGTGTATGGATTTTCTCTCGGACCGAAGCCACCTCGGGGCACGACGCAGGTCAATCCGGGCCAGCAACAAGGCTCGAAGAGCCCGACTCTAGCAGTAGAGCAGCCAGGAAGAGATGCGGGCGTTTGCGAAGTCTTGAGAGGTTTGGTGATTTTGCCGCTAAGGTGATGAGGGCTTCGGGTCTCACATGTTTGGGCCCCGAAGTGGGAAGCGTGAACCCTCGTCAAATCTTAGAGACACCGAGATCCGCACACACCCCAACCCGCAGATAGATCATGCATGATTCGGCAGGATCCTACGGGACCCTAATCCATAATCTTCCGCTCATCTCATCTCCAGCCTCTGGTTCGAGGCAATTTAAACACCCCACGATGTCGACTGAGGCGGCTTGGTCTCCGAGCCAGAGGCCGTCCTCAGCAGCAGTGGTGGCCACAAACGCGCAGAGTCGTAGCTGATGTCAGCCTGATGTAGATCTGAACGTGAGTAGCAGCAGCAGACTCTGTTGAACCCCAACCATCCCTAAACATCCCTAAACCCCCCCTTTGGTGGCGCCCCGCTTTGGAATCCGCGAGGCTTTGGAGCTGCCTTTGGTCAACGGCTTGGAGCACAGCTTTGGTCCGCCGACAGGCGCTGAAAGCCATGTTTATTCATGCGGCAGAGCTGCTTTTGCGCTTGTTTTTCATATGCAGCGACGTGTTTAGATGTTCTCTGACCATGCTTTTTAGAGGACTTGCTGCTTTTTAGCACCAAAGACCACGATAAAGAGAGGGACCATGGCCCCTGGAGAAGGCTTGGCCTGGGGTCCGCGGGACAAGGCGGTGCTGCTCTGCGCAAGCAGATGCCTGGCTGCATTTTCGGGGGTGGTTCACAGCTTCTAGAACAGGGGGCCCTTTAATCCCTTTGAGCCAAGGATGGGCAAACAGCTGCTGCGCCGTGGATGTCGAGTCCGCGTCTCACAGAGAGAGCCCCAAAGCAGCAAAGCTCCGACCTGCAAAGCTCGAGGCGCGGAGCTCCGATTTACGGCGGCGCTGCCGTAACAGACGACGACGGGGCCACAGCAGACTGCCTGAGAGTCACTGCGGCCTAAGCACTCACCGAATGACTGCAGAGACAGACAGACGCGCTCCCTCTCTCTGAGCCTCTCTCTCTGAAGAGTCCTGGAAACGTGCAAAGGAGTCGAGACATCAATCTATCAGTGTGTTCTGCGATCTCTACATCGTTCACTCCACCCATCACACCACGCACGCCATATTTATCCCTGCTTCCATCCGGTCGACCCTTCTCCGCTTGAAGAGAGCGCTTGGGCGCCGAGGATCCTGTGCTGACCGGCCCTCAGAGCCTCCAGCAAAAAGCACTTGCATTGCGTCGTCGTGGTCCTTCGTAGCACAGTCGTCGCTTTGCAGTGGGCACTGGTACTGGTAGTAGTCGTCGTCATAACACTGCTAGTACTAGGAGTACGAGTCGGAACTACAAGCACTGCTAGTACTACTAGGAAAATACTCGTCGTACAAGTACGTAGTGCTACTTAGTCGTACTTGTAATGGTAGGTATCGCTGCTGCTACTGCTGCCACTACCACTACCACTACTGCCACGAGTTGCGGGACTTGGGACCCACCCAGCCATAGCAGTAGTCCAGGGGCCGTCTGATCCTGCAAACAATAGTAATGGGGTCACAGGAGCAGGCTGGCGGCATGTACTAGTACGAGTACCACTGCAAGTATTGTATGAGTACTATTCGTAATCGTCTTAGAGTTTAGAAGACTATACGTATAGCAGTGGTAACTGCACTTGTTCCTGTTGCTGTTGTTGTAGCAGCAGCTGGAGTTATAGCTCTGATTGCAAAAGGCAGTGGGAGTAGCAGCACGACACCGATACCTACAGGGAAAGAGCTTACTCTCTCGACCCGCAGTTGCGCAGAACACGCCCGGCGGCGCCGGCGAACGGTCGCGAATATTTATACTTAGGTGTACCGTTCATATTGATACCGACACCGGTGATGTGAGCATACTCCTGTAACTGCTCATGGGAGTCTTGATTCTTGGGTTGACCACCTCTGATCCATGTCCTCGCGACTTACGACAGTGATTCCTGGCAAGCGTTCTTCTCAGCTCGTGTCGAGGTGTCTCGCCAGCCATGCTCTTCGCGACATCGCTGTAAGCCCAGCTCTGAGCTGTCGAAGCCCGCATTGGCGACACTCCGCTTGTCTCTTCACACCGGAGGCGGCCACATGGGCTGCGCGCGTGTCTTCTGCCCTCTCACTGGGAGGCACAAGTTACCCAAGTTCCATCTGTTGCGCTTGCTCTGAGGTTTCTTTATTCAAGTTCTCTGAAGGTCCCTCTGGAGCCTTCAGAGAATCAACCGCTCGGCCCAGGCGCTGAAAAAGGGGCGCCAGGAAGTCTTTTGAGTCTCAGCTGGGTCCTCAGGTGTCTTCCGTGGCCATGGATCCTTTTGGTGCCGGTCACGAGGTCTGCACCGGCGGCCCGGGGACCCCAGCCAGGGGGAAAAGGGGAAGAAGACGCAACAAAAAAGGCCGCTTTTGACTGGAAGAAGGCGAAGACGGCCGCCTGGAGATCTTCGACCTAAGAACCTGCCGCTGCCTGCAAGAGGCCGCAACTTCCCAAACTCCAGCTGCGCTTAGCTCTTGTAGTCTTTGTGGATCTGGGGGCGAGTGTTTTCTGCGGACTCGGTGTGTCGGGTTCAGGTGCAGCTCCCCCCCCGGGAGGACACGACCATCCACTCGGCGCTTGGCCCAGCTTGGGGTGACGAGTACATATTTGGGCACCGATTCCGATGCGTCGCCTCCTCCGTATATGCCCCCATGTTCGCTCCAGGGCGACGCTGGAGGGGGTGGGGTGGGGCGATCCACTAACAGCTGCAAGTGCGCATTGCCAGTGCAGCCGGGATTTCACCATGACTTGCCGGAGTAGTTAACATCGCCGTCGATATCAACTGCTGCTAGACCGCACAGCAGCATTTAGAGGCTCAAGTGCCTTTAATCGGTTTCTTCCTGTGATACGTGTGGGTGCTGCTTGTATACGTGCAGGTGCAGCTTCAAGCAGACATTGTCGCAACCGCCTGTGCGGACGGTACAGTGACCCTGCTTCTTGACAGCAACGAACGGAGAGTCCCGAGCTCTGACAGTTGCCGGCAAGCGGAGCATCACTGCTGCATCTTGTCATCTTAGGCTGGCTCGGAAACAGCCGCGGACGCCTGGCTGATGTTTACCAAAAGTTGCCTGCAAAGTCTCTTTGCCAATCCAGTTGTCTATGCACTCGCTAGCTGCCAGACATTTTTGATGCATCAAAGTCAGCGTCCACTTCCAAACTCTCTCGGCTTTCCCCGCTCCCCTCCCTACCTCCCTGCGCCGCTCCCTTACACCGGATACGGACTTCCAGATATAGCTCGTGAGCAGGTGGCAGAAGTCTGCATGTCAGCCCTGGTGATCAAAGGGGTCAGGTAGGCATGCTCTCATGCACAGGCCGCCCGAAACAAGAGCACAGAATTGCGCATCACCGGGCTTCGAACTTACCACTGCGCAGTCTGAGCTTCTCAGCTAAAGCAAAGAGCAGAAGCGAAGAGAGAAGATCTCTCGCGGCACTTGCATCTGCGCCGGGCCTTGTGTTGATGGATGGCCTCCGGTGAGCCGCTCAAATTGCGCCGCGCATTTGTTCGGTTTTTTGTTGTCTCTGAATATGTCTTATTCCCTTATTATATAGCTTATAACCCAAAGGATCCGGATCGCAGCCTGTCGGATGCCCAGCCTTTGCATCTGCGATGAGAGAGCACCGAGCACGGCGAGTGCGGACAAGGACTTGCCGTCCTATGCCCTCAAGGCAAGGACTTTTTGAAGGAGAAGGATTTGGTGAATCAGTGACCTAAGCCCTAAACCCAAACCCTAAAAACCCTAAAGGCTTGAAGAAAAGCCGCAGTGACCCGTTTGGCAGCCTGGCAGGTCGTCCCGGCGTCCGGGTCTCAGCGCCGAGTTTGCACTCCGAGAAGACCCTCCAGGAAAGCTCGTAGAGTTGTAAGAAGTTCTGCTGCACAGCTTGTGGGTGGGTTCCAGAAAATTGTGTGTGTGTGTGTGCGTGCGCGTGCGTGCGTGTGCGTGCGTGTCTTGTATGTGTCATGTTTTGTCGTGTGTTCGTCATTTGCCCTTGACGTTGTGCATCGTTGCTCGTGTCGTTCTGTAGCGACACTTTTTGTTGGTATTCTTAGCCTTGGCTTGTCCTTGTCTTTGCCGGGTCCCGGCCCGGGAGGGCCGGGAGGGGCGGGGCATCGGCGCCCGAAATGAGCACATGTCCTGAGGTAGTGTCATTTTATTGCAAGGTATGTTTTGTCACGTTCTGGTGGCACTTTTGCCGGTCCCCACACCCCTTTGTCATGTTTTGTGATTCTGGGTGTCAGTCCTCATGGGACTGTGCGTCCTAGTCTTGGAAGGCTTCGTGCACACCACCAGCCACGAAAGAATGCCCGTGGAAACAAAACACAAAATAATGGCAATGGCGACCGGCGAAAAGGCCAAACGACAATGAAGCGGCAAACCGAAGTGTTCCCCATCATATTGATGCCATACATCTGTCTTGCCCTTGCCAAGTGGCCAAGACCATGGATCTATAGTAAATAATAGGGTTTCCTTATAACTACTGGTAGCTTCAAAGTTAAAAATCCCCTAGCAGGAACCCAGAATTCCCGATCTCTTTCAGGTCCCGGGGCGGTGGAGGCCTCTTCTTCCTTCGCTCCCAGAAGCGGGACCACGAGGAGCTAGGCGCCGGCGGGCCTTTGGGGGGGCGGCCTTTGGGCGGGGCTTTGGTGGGGCTTTTTTTCTGGCGCAGATTCTCTCCAAAGGAGACGCAGGTCGAAGTCGTGTGTCGTTGCAGCACATCGACACATCAGCGAGCTGACTGTAGCTAACGGCTCCCTCTATAGTTTTCCCTCCAGCTCATCTAGGAAGGAGTAGGAATTCGACTGCGACGTGTTCCGACATATTCGGCTCGGCGGGCAGGCAGGGGCGGCGGCTTCAACGAGCGACAGACGGCGACGGATCTGAAAGCTTGGCACTCTGACACCACGAGTTTCCACCAGCAACCGGATTACGTCGGCCCGTGCCCGGCCCTCGGCCCTCGTCTTAGCTTTGGGAGGTGGATCATAACTCGGACGACGAGCTCTACGATGAGCCCCGAGCTCGGTCCGAGCTCGGCCCTTTTTTCGGCGCTTTTGTCTCTTTTTCTCCCTTTGAGGTTCGGCCGGAAGAAGCGGCGGAAAGCAAAGGCCGCCGCCAAGGATCGCGCTTCTGACCTCTTTCGCGCTTTTTTGTCTCTCTCTCTCTCTCTCTCTCTCCTTATTTAAATTTAAGTGTTGCCCCAAAGATGCCCCCCAATCAAGATGTTGTGCTCTTTTTTCTTCTTCTTCTTCTCGGAGCCCTCGGTCCGAGCCTGCGCAGGGGCCCTCCAAGCTCGGCACTGAGTGACTCAGTGACTCGGGGCCTTGAGGCGCTTGGAAGGCTCTGTCCGCCGTTGCAAGGACGGAAGCGCCCAAAGCTGAAGACAGCAAAAAAGCAGAGGACCAAGCTGAGCCGTGCTCTGCTTCAGGGGAGACCCACAATGTTTGGAGGAAGTCCCGGAGACCCAGAAGCAAAAGGAGCCCGGAAGCACTCCGCCCGCGGCGCCGGAGCCTTCGCCTACCGCGGCCTCCGCGGCTTCCCCAGCCCGCGCTCCGTCCTTGGCCTTCGGAAAGTTTTGAGCGACGGGCCTCACCGTTTCAGCCTCAAGGGCTTTGAGCCACGGTTATCGGCAAGACTTGATTTGCAGATCGCACACCATCGCACACCTTTCCACATCTGCATGACATGAGTTTCGTCGCCTTGCCGCGCTGCTCGCCGTCTGCAGTCTGCAGGTCATCGATCCGCGGCCGGGAAAGGGAGCCCAGAAGGGGCCCGGTGCACCGGGAGCCCCGGGCTTTCCCATGACCTTCCCGGCTGGAGGGCCACCGGCGCCACAGGCGCAGCAGGCGCAGGCGCAGCCCAATGCCTGGCCCGGAGCGCCCTTCGGCAAAGGCGCCGCATGCTTCTTTGCCTTGGGCCTCTTGTATTTGTTGTTGGGGCTCGTGCTTTAAAGGCCAAAGACGCTGCTGCCCCTGCTGAGCCAGGTGCTCCACAGACGGCGCCCCCTTGGGCCTGGAACCAGGCGCAGCCTGCGCAGCAATCGCACAGACTACGCCGTGTCCGTACTTTATAGGACCTCGCTGCGCAAACCCTGGCTGTTGTCCGCAGCCGTTCAGCGGCTCCAACGATATGAGACCCAGATGGATTTGGAGTCTGGCCTCGCTCGCCTTCGGATTCTTCTGGGGCTTGAGGGCCAAAAGCGCTTTCGCCCTTTCAGAGATGCAGCCCCGGACGGACCCAGGCGTACCCGGCGGCCCAAGACAGCTCCGAGTGGTGGCCTACAACGTTTGCGGCTTCGGCGCAGGCTTCGGGGACGTCGACGAAGCGATGGTCACAGAGGTACCATGAGTGCTGTAAGAGCTGCGTCGTTTTTCCGTTGAGCTGCGGGCGCAGGTCTATGGCAAGCTCCGCGAGGCGCAGCTGCAGAGACCTGAAAAAGCGGCAGCACAAACACCCCTGCAATGTAGAGACTCGAGCGCTCGAGGACTTGCAAGGCCTGAAGGCCGACATCATCTGCCTCAACGAGGTGCGCCCGGGCGGGGTGGCAGGGAGAGAGATGCCCGGGGGTGGCGGCGCATTCGCCTTTTTTGATCAGGTGAAGCGCCTGCGGCTCAAGGACGGCCCTCCGAAGAGAGAGCAGGGAATATAGAGCAGAGGAGAGCCGTCTTAGAATTGAGGCCCCTGGGGCTGAGAGGGGCGCTCCGCGCGTTGTTCTCTCTCAGGACCCGGAGGGAAGCTTCCGGGAGGACAGCCTGGAGGCCTTGGCCGAAGACTTGGAGGAGATGGAGTTCTTCTTTGCTCATGCCAATCCTGGATATGAGACTTTCGGGAATGCCATCCTGATCGGGAAGAGGCTCCAGGTCCTGCATTGCGATTCGCTCCACCTCGAGGGCGGCTCTGTGATAACCCTTGGCCCTGGAAAGACAAAGCACATCGGTCGCGGATGCCTCTCAGAAGCCTCGATGCAGTTGACCGAAATTCGCTACACTTTCTTACGGTCTCTGACCATAAGCAACGGACAGCTGGCATTTAGGCTTTCTTGAGCTGAGGTATGTGTGGAGGTGCAGGGCAAGCAGTTTGCCACGCTGGTGACCCACTGGGACCACATCTCTGAGGCACCGGAACGCGGAGAGAAGCCATAAAAGCTCTCAGCAGCAGGAGCACTGTGCAGCACTTTGCCCGCACTTTGCAGAGGCAGAACGGCTACGGCAAGCAGAATCAATTCTGTCCGGCCACTCGCTGCTGTCTCATGATCTGCCCCACCTACTTGTGGGAGATCTCAATGCTCCTCTCCCGCACCGCAGTTCCGAACTGCCAAAATTCAGCGAGATCTGATCCTGGAAGGCGATGAAGAGGTCAGACTACACAGACCAGGACGGGCAGCTTCAGCTTCCCCCTCCAAAACAAAACGCCCCGGGGCGGGGCCCCCCGAAAGTAGCTGCAGACTTTCAAAACCACGGATCTCTCTCTTGAGGAGTGGGCTGGTTTGGAGGAGCGCAACGCCTTGAAAGGCTGGGCGCCGCCCGAAAACTCCCAGGCCTTGTTGGCTCTGGAGAGAGAAGGCTACAGGGATCTCGGCGACAGCCTCCACCAGTCGCTCCTTGCCTTGCAAACAAAAAACGGCAAAAGAGAGAAGACAGACTTGCAGAGTTGTTTCGCTGGGCCCGGTGGGACGCGCCGAGGCGGTCGCGGTGGACGAAGAAAGAAGGGCCCGGGCCACCGATCCGGATTGATTACATCTACGCTTCCAAGCACTTCAGCGACGTTGGCTCTCTGGCACTTAAAACTTAAATCTTATAACTCCCTCTTCTGGCACTAAACTCCCTTTTCTTTCTCCCGTCTCAAAGGTGAGACCAAAGCCACTTTCGTTGCGACGGCGACAGGCCGGATCTCTGGAAACTCCTACTCAGGTACTATTCCTACGGGTACTATACTTATTACTACCAATATAGTCGCATACCAGAAGTATAGTTCTTTTCTTGAGGCTCCTCAAAGCTCTGTCCGGACTTGTTCACTCCAGGCTCGGACCATCTGCCCCTGGTCGCGGACATCCTGCTAACGTAAAGCGCCTGTGCCCAAAGCTGGCGCGGCGTCCGACGTAGAAGCTCAGACTCAGTCTCAAAGCTGGGCTGAAAAAAGCGGGGGAGAGAGAAAAGCAGCCTCTCTCTTAGAGAGAAAGGGAGGAGAGGGAGGCGCGCGCCCACTCGCACTCGTCAGGACTTCGGGAAGGGCGGCCCGGGCGGCGGCGGGCTCAGACCGGCCGCTTGCCTTCCTTGGGCCCCGGCAGCGGGAGTGGCAGCGCCGTGTCTCGGCTCCCAGACCGGCTGATCGTCTGCAGACCGTGAAGCTCAGCAAACTCCTGCACCCACATGCCTCTTCTGCACCTCTATACTACCTTCAGCAAAACAACACAAAGGCAGAAAAACACTCCGAGCGAAAGACATGCCCCCCCCCCCCACCATTTTGCAGCCTTTCTTTGCGCCTTTCTGATGGCAGCCACTCGCTTCCTTGAGCAGGCCAGGCCGGGCCGGGAGGAGGGTTTCGAGAGAGAAGCCGAAGCTCAAGGTACTCCGTGTTCGGCCGTCATGGAGGCGTCTTTCGAAGCTTTCTGGCCCTTGCTTGGGGCTTGGGGCTCTGGGATCTTCCAGTGCGGAGGCCAAGCAAGATCCACTTCCAGCACCTCACCGTGGCCTGTTCCAACACTGCTCGCGCCTCTCTGACACCCAAAAAGGGCGACTTTTTTACGCCTCGCAGGGGCTCCCTGCGCGCCCCCCCCCCCCCTCTCCCCGTGCGTTTCAGGTCTACAAGGTGGCCTGCGGGGAGGACCTGTCAGCGATGTCACGCGATTGCTCGACGCAGGGAGGGAGACAGACCCGGAGCGGCGGAAGGCGCTTTCTGATTTCTAGGAGAAGCTGCTTTTGCGGGTCTACGGCTCCGACGACCATGGCCTCTTCCGGAGACCCCACGAGGCGCCAAGACGGGCCGAGACAATTTCTGAAGGAAGGGGGGGGGGTCTCTCTCTCTCTCTCTCTCTCTCTCTCTCTTCTCTCCATCCTTCTCTTTGCTTCACTTCTCTCGTCTCGCTTCAATGCTTTTTCGCGAGGTCGAGCGAGCTCGCTACGTGGCTTCCTGCGGCTTTGGACCCCAGGCACCCTTCTTGAGATCCAAAAACGGTGACCTGCTCCGGCTGGTCCGCTCCAGGTGCTGCATACCTTCGAGGAAGGTCGCATCGAGCAGTGGCTGGAAGGTCGATCTCCGACGTACGAGGACACGCCCCTTTCTTGACACGCCTCGAAGGGGCCTTGTGACGTGACGGCGACGGACGGAACCTGTCGCGGTCTCTGCAGGAAATTCGGACGGAGGAGAGCATCCGTCGAATTGCCTGCAAGCTGCGCGAGTTCCACGACAGGCGGCCGGCACGGAAAAGCGAGGCGCCTTGCCGTTTAACGCCGTGAGTTGTTTCCAGGACTGGCCTAAACCACAACGACCTCCACCACAACAACATGTTGATGACCGAGCGCTGGAAGCTGAAGAAAGGGGGGACCCGTTGCTTCACAGCACTTCCTTGCAACTAGCCGCTTCAGCCGAGGAGAGCTCCACCTCCTAGATTTCGAGTACTCAAACTCTTTGGATCCAACCTACGATATCGCCAACCACTTCAATGCCTGGCACCCAGATGTCTCAAGCTGAGGCTGGCCTCATAGTGGCTGCGATGCGCCGAGGAGTGGATGTATCCCTACACGGGTCCGAACCAGCACCTCTACCAACTCGGGCTCCTTTGGCGCCCTTAACAAAACTTGTGCTCCTGAGGTGCTGAAGAGAGCAGCTCTGCTTAGCTCTGCTTAGCCTCAGGCTGTACCCGAGCTTGGCGCAAAGGAGGCTCTTTTGCTCCTACTACCTCGGAAGCCCGCGTGGCAAGGCGGGGCCGGCACTGCGCTGCACCCCAACAAAAAAACCCTCAGAGAGAGAGCGGGGCCCAGAGAGAGGCGAGAGAGGCGAGGGGAGCAGGAGAGTCCCCCTTATTTTTGTCACCTTCTTCGCCGCGTCTGAGGGGGCCGTCGTGGACGACTTCCTCGCCGAGGCGCCGCCGCCGTCAAAAGGGGGTGTATAAGAATGAGAATGAGAAAGAGGAAGAAGAGGGAGAAAGGAAGGAAGGAAAGAGGGCTTCTTTCGGTCGATCAGGTCGAGAAACGGCGCCAAGACTCCCACGAGTTTTGGGCCAGGAGCCCCAGTCGCAGGAGAAAGAGAGAGCTCTCCCCTCTTCGGGCGCAGCAGCCTCGTCCAGCGTTGGCCTTGTAAGAGATCTCTGTCGAAGGTGCGCTGGGCAGACAGCACCCCCAGCAGCTTCAACAGAGACTATGCGGATGCCAGTTCCTCATTCTCATATTTTTTTCTGCCGCCACTTCGCATGAATCAGGCCACCATGACACAAGCGTTCACGTCTGAGGCACGCAGGAAGCTTTTGAGTCTGCGCCCTTTTTGTGTGCTGTGTGGGGTCCCACGGGCAGGAGTTGGAAATCAGAGGGCAGTCAGTGAGAGAGGGCAAACTCAGGTCCAAGCTCCAAGCTCGTGGCCGAGGCCAAGTCTTTAGAAGCCCAAAGAAGAGAGACAAGGAGGTCAGTCCAAAAAGGAGATGCTCTCTGATCGCTTGTGAGGAGAGAGCAGAACAGGGCCAGCAGGGCCAGGCCGCGGGCTCCTCGCCTTCGGCCGAGGCTCCGCTCCTCCCCCCCCCCCCTTGCGCCCCGGCCCGCCAGTGACGAGTCCCCCGCACGCGTCCTCCCGGTCGCGTCACAGGTGGGCAACGTGGCGGAAGGCATCTGCCAGACCTTCCGCATCCTTCTCCAGGCCGTAGAATCCGTAGAGCTCTGGGGTTCGGGGGCCTTTCTTTCTCAGCTGCGAGGCCCAGGCGCGCTCGGCGCAGGAGACGAGGCTGCGGCCCAGTGTGCAGAGCGCCTGAAGCCTTGGCGGCCGCCCTTTGCAGCTCGGGCCAAAGCTCGAGTTGCTGTTTGCTCTCATTGAGAGAGATCTGCGTGCGCCCCCGCGCGCGGCCCTAGGCCCTGCAGTGCCATAGTCCATGAGAGCCTCAACTGGATCCGCCTTTGAAAGGCGGTGAAGGCCTCCATAGCAAAGGGGACCAGTTGAGAAACTCGTCTCACCATCAATTCGACATTTCAGCCACCGAGCAATTGGCTCTGTGCTGTGTTTGCAAAGGGTTCCAGAGCCCTATTTCCACATTTCTCTATCGCGAGGCTCTTCAGTGCTTCGATCTTCGCATGCGGCAATGTGGTCTTTCTGCGGAACAGCGACTCAGCGTCGACGAAAAGAAGCAGCGCCACTTTGTGCCACTTTGCGCCTGCGCTATATGCACGACATCATAGAGGCGCCTCATGTGTGACTCTGACGGTGGTTGAGGCTACCCGGGGAGTGAGGGCGCCTGGACCCGACCCTTCGGCTGGTGACGCCCCGCGCGCTCCAAAAGCTTCGAGCTCTTTTTTGCCTGCCTTGCCTGCTTTGCTCGCCACCTGAGAGGTCTTCCGCCGGATTCCGCTTTTCCTCAAACAGAGCTGCGTGTAGGCCTTCCATGTGTACAAAGCCGTGCCCCCCCGTCGGAACGATGGATCGATGATCGATGTCACGGCAGGGCCATCAGAATGGCATACTGCAATTAATTGAAGCTGGAGACTATCAAACGAATGTTATTCAGCTTCCGGAGGTACCTCGGCTGCTTGCTTCTGGCCTTGGCGCAGGTGCTGGGGGGGGGGGGGGGGGGGCAAGGCACCGCTGCATAGAACAGCACTGCCTTCCGGCCATGCTTGGGAGGCAGTCGAGGAGTCGACAGGCCAGGGCCCCGGCGGCCTCGTGAGCCCAACTTCGTCGATGAGAATCGCTCGGATCTGCCAAGATGGCGGCGGAATGGTCCGGCGGCATGGGTGGCATGGCTACGACGCCTACGAGGAATGTGCTCTGGTTTTGGTCGCGGCTGCATTTTTGATCTCTGGCTTAAACCAGGCGGTCAGTGCTGCTGGGGACCTCAGCCGCGAACATGCGGGCAGGCCCGGACTCTCGCTATAGTCGGAAGTTAGGACTCTGCACACTCCGCATCTCTTGGCACTGCAGGCAGCGTGGCCGGCAGGCCGCAAACAAAGATCGAAAGAGGCAAAGATCATCTCTGAGCCTTGCGTCGACAGGTTCAGGCCAGTGTCACCGCAAGGTCCGGGAGGAGGGCCCAATCCTCAAACAAGAATTTCGGGGAGAGCCTCAGAAGACGTGTGATGTGTTGGCAGCTGGCCTGAGGCTCTTGTCTCCGTTGCGGCTACGCCTGCGCTGGCGACACTTGAGGAGGAGGGCGAGTTTGGGGCTCCAGCACCCGTCCCTGCCTCCACTTTCGTGTCCGCGAACACGCTCACCCCGCCACCGGGCTTTCCAGGCTTTCCAGGCTTGCTCGCCTTCTCTAGTAAAGGCTTCGTGCCAGCGCCGGTGCCCTTGCAAGCGACTGCCGTACCTCAGCCAGAGAGCGGCAAGAAGAGCAAGCACACGAAGCACAAAGCACAAGCGCCGCCGACGCCAACACCGACGCCGACGCCGCCTTCGCAGGTGCCGTGGGCTTCTCAGCTCGAGACCTCGACTCGCTCCTCCAACAACAAACTCCCACGAAGAAAATCTCTGAGTGGCTCTGCAAAACCCGAGGCATCGCCTCGCTCGCTCCACGCTGCTGCTGTCAGGGGCTCGGCTTCGGCTGCGGTGCCCATCAGGGCTCAAGGCCTCTGTGTGCTCTCTCTTTTTGACGAGGCTCCTGCTTTTCAGTGCCTTCTTGGGCTTCCTCGTCGTCTGGCGCCAAGCGCGAGGGCCCCGGCCGGAGGGTGATTTGAGGCAGAAGGACACCGATAAGGCAGGGTGGTGGTCCCCCTTTTGACTCGAAGGAAGGTCCTCCTCAACAAGCCCCGGGGCGACTTCCGCGAAGAGGCGGCTCCAGTAGTGCCAGAAGTCGTTGCATGAGCGCAGTTTTGCTTATGATTCTGTTGTTGCTCAAACACTCATGTCATGGTGGCCATAGTGACATAGTGATGCTCTTTGGTGGTGAACTCGACGCTGATGTAGCTGGACAGTGCGGGCGCGTGCATCCCCAAGGCGCAGCAGTAACCGTGAAGCCAAACTAGACATTGCAACAGGGAGGAGCATTATAGGATCATATCATATCGACGACGACATGGATGATGATGATGATGATCTAAATACGATGTTGACGAGTTGGGTCGGAGGAGGAGTTCCAATTCGGCCCTGCCTCCTGCCGTCAGACCCGGTGAACCCGACTCCCGCAGCTTCCCCCCAAAAAAAAACCGCAACCAATGAAAGTGCCTGCGGAGGTGGCCAAGGCCCTGAGCCGACGTTCCCGGAGAAATCTCAGCAGCGAGCGGGAGCCGCGCTCCAGCCACGAGGACCACGTGGCTTACGCCCCCATTCCACAATTGACAATACAAAACAGCCCTGTCTACAGATACTACCAAGACTTTCAGCCCGTATCACTCAATCTTCGGTTAAAGAACGGCATGAGGGCGATTTGGGCTTCAGCATTATCAGCTCGTCTGTGATCCAAAAATCATGCCGACTTCTGCTACATGATGGATATGATGGTTTTTGTTGAGGACAAAGTTCTGCATTTGGGTCGTTCATGTTCTGAGACTCCCATGCATGAATAGCTGCAGATCCTTACATCTGCAGCGCTTCTCTAGTTTGTTGGTTCCACATTGACATGGTGTGTAAACGAACACACTGTAAGTCTCGGGATCGGGATCGGGACTGTTTGCATGTAGTCCGATTAAGGCGTTATTGCGCAACGTGAGCCGTTGCTGCTGCGTGGGCTCTCTGATGATACGAAACGGAACAAGGTCTAGTGACAAAACAACTTGGGAATGTTAGACAGCCATCCCATCACTAGTAATTTGCAAGTTCTTTGGGTGCTTCGGTGCTGGTGAGGATCTCCAGGCGCGTGAGCCGCCGCTTCAGGCCAAGGACCTGGCGCAGATTTCGCTGTGTGGCTCGGGCCTTGCGTGGTATTGCGACGATTGCCACAGTCCGAGGCCACTGCAAGCTCGGCAACAAGCCCTGCAAGCTCGGGAGAGGCCTGGCTCGGGGGGCCCGGCTGTCTGGCCCAAAACCACCGCACGTCTGCGGAAGGTGTCGCAGAGAGGTCGAGATCCGGATAGCCTTCAGGCTGGAGCGTGGAAGCGGGGGGGTTGTTTGCGCTTGCAGAAAGCCGAGGCCACAGCCAAGGCTGTCTCCGGGACGGCTCCTCAATGCCTCACTCAATGCCGCCACTCTGAAGCGCCGCTCTTTGCTGAGGCCCTCTGCCGGGAGCAGTGAGCTGGAGGAGCCAGAGGAGTTGGAGCCAGCGGAGGCGGATGCAGCGGGCGGTCGCCGCAGGACCTGAAGCGCGTGCAGTGCCGTGGGAAAAAAAGACGCGCTGAAACCTTGCGTAGACTCGGAGTGCTGGAGCTTGCTGGAGCATGCTGGAGTCCAGGTCTTGCAGCCATTTAGGCCCTTTCAAGCTAAGCCAACGGCCTTCGTTTCGCCCTGTTCCGACTTGTTCCGACTTAGCTGCGTTTCAAGCTTTCAAAGAGATGCTGGTGCTCCGTTTCGCACTGCTTTTCATCCTCCAGGCCGCCCAGGTGGAGGGCTGGAAATGGATGGCCAAGATCAAGGCCCCTTCTTTCAGCAGGATGCAGAAGGGCTCCAAGTTCGGAGACAAGAAGCCCTTCGTCCAAACAGGGATCTGCTTCTTAAGATTCTGTATGAGAGAAAGAGCCAGCTGAGACTCGAGAGCTTGCCGTAGCCCATGGTACTGGCGGGATTTCTGCACGCGTGCTCCTTTGCTTTCTCTCCGAAGTCTTGTGCAGACCGCCGCGCAGCTCTGAGGCTGGTGGTGATCACCGGGACGTCTTCGGGCCTCGGCAAGCACACGACGAAGGCTCTCCTTCAGGCCAAGGACTACCACGTCATCGGAGCCGTCCGGGACCGCGGCGCGAGGGCCGCGCTTCGAAGCTCCGCGCCAAACCGCGCCTCTGTGTCTTTGCCTTTGCTTATAAGCACGCTCCTCTCTTGCGCCTTTTCCAGTTGTGCAGTCGGCAGGACCTGGAGAAGATGAAGCTGGTGGCCGAGCTGGAGGGCTTCGACATGGAGCGGTTCACGGCCATGGAGTTGGATTTGGCGAGCTTTGAGAGCGTGAAGAAGTTCACCGAGGAGCTGGAGAAGTTTCGTGGGGATCGGCCCATCGACAGGCTCGTGTGTAACGCAGCCGTCTATCAGCCAACGCTCGCATATCCCAAGTGGACCGTGGACGGGCACGAACAACAGCTTCAGATCAACTACCTGAGCCACTTCTTGCTCACTTCGAAGGTCATGCCCATGATGACCGACTCGAGCGACGCCCGCGTGGTCATGATCGGATCAGTGACGGGCAACGACAACACGGTTGGAGGCGGTGGAGTCTACCCCATTGCAGACTTGAAAGACTTGGATGGCCTGGAGCTCGGATGTAAGAAGCCCATTGCCATGATGGACGGCTACAACTTCAACGGTGCCAAGATGTACAAGGACACGAAGCTAGCTCTGATGATGACCTCGAACATGCTTCACGAGCGCTTCCATCGCTCCACGGGCATCGCCTTTAGCTCCATCTACCCCGGCTGCATCGCCGAATCCCCTTTGTTCAGGGAGAAGAGGCCTTGGTTCCGCAAGTACTTCCCGATCTTCATGAAGTACATCACCGGAGGCTTCGTGGGAGAAGAAGAAGCCGGGACAAGGCTCTTCCAGGTCCTGCACGATGTAAGGTGCACGAAGAGTGGGGTCTACTGGTCCTGGAACGGTGGACCTCGCGAGGGCCGCGGGATGGAGGCCATGGAGAAGGGAGGCCAAATCGTTGGGGCTGGGGGCGCCGGAGGCGGCTGGGAGTCGATCTTCGAGAATGATCAGAGTGACAAGGTCTTGAACAAGGATTTGGTCCAGAAGCTTTGGCAGAGCACCAACGAGGTGACGGGAGCTGAGTGGCCTGCGGCTTACCAGGCCAAATCTCCCTGTCCCACCTTGAAGGTTGTGGGTGCTGCCACCTCGCTTCTGGGCATCATGGAGGAGCGCGCCCGCATGAAGGCCTCTCGGGAAGGGGAGGGTGCCAAGATCGTGGCGAACAAGACCTTGCCCAAGGAGGAGAGGCGCCGAAGCCTCGAGAAGATGCTCATGGCCTTGGACAAGACGCCCACGGACCCCGAGGAGCTGGAAAAAGACCTGCTCCGCACCGCCGGGCTCGTGCCCGAGGATCTCGCCGTTGAGGAAGCTGAGGAAGACTCTGAGGAAGCTGAGGAGAGCCAGGTGGAGGCTGTGCTGCCGGAGCTGGAGGAGCTCGAGCTCCCTGCTCCGCAGGAGCCCCCAAGCATGATTCCGGGGCACGAGCTGCTCGGTGACACGCCGGTGGTCTTCCAGCCCCAGAATGTGATGACCATGGCAAGGGTCGGCCAGCCTTTGAGCGAAGTGGCGAGCCAGGCAGATGTCTTCATCCGCTACAAGTGCAAGAAGGGTCAGTGCAAGACCTGCGCCGTGAACATCGATGGCAAGTGGGTTTCTGCTTGCCAGACGAAGGTCCCTCCGCAAGAGCCCGGCAAGAGCTTCGATGTTCGCGTGCGCCCGGTGTCGGATGCACACAAGACGGCCGAGAAAGCCGCCTTCTTCACGCCCAAGTCCTTTGCGGACGGTGTCGTGAACAACGGCTTGGGCATGGTGGGCTTCGTGAAGGAGGCCTTCGGTTCTGATCCGGATTTCAAGGTCCGGATGGGGAAGGAGAAGAAAATCGAGCAGCTCCTTGCAAAGAGGAGGAAAGAGGTCACCGGCAAGGTGAAGACCTCCAAGCTGCGGGGCCCGGGACCTTCTTCTAGTCACGTGACGGATGGCGAGACCGTCAAGGACGAGTACGGCCGCGAGTTCGTCTTGCCAACCATTGCCATGACCGCCGCCTTCATGTTTGCATTGATTCAGAATTATCCAGTCCTTGACTGAGCCATACTGAGCCATAGACGCCTTAGATGCCCCTTGCCAGGGAGCTCGTTGCTTAGCTTAGCTGACTTAGCTCTATAACTTGGAGAGCTTTGACAAAAACAGGGCCGAGCCGAGCTCTAAGGCAGACGGCCGAAAACTTCGGCCGAGAGGGTGCTTTTTTGAAGGAGTGCGGGAGGGGCCCGGGCCCTGTCGCGCCCGCTCAACGTGCGCGCAAGCGGGCGCTCGCGAGCGAGGACTTCTCTCCTCGGTTTTGACGATTGTACCGGGTCCCCACCAGCGTCGATCCAGCCCCGAAGCCCGTTGCAATCATTTCCCAAAACGTGCCTAGCCGCTGCCTAGCCTGCCTAGCCGCCGAGATGCGTACTTCCTTCGCCGTGAGCCGCTGTCGGACTCAAGCTTGAGCTGTCGGCAGATGAGTCGTCGAGTCGTCAGACTGTTTGCAGCACCTATAGGACCTATAGGGCTCTCCTTGGCCATGGCCCGCTACAAACATGACTCCAGGCTGCAGGTGTTTTTCGCGTTCGGAGGAGATCCGGCTTGTGCTCGAGATGGACATCAACGACACCGAACCGGAACTGCTCTAAGACTTCGAGCGTCATGAAGCCTTTCACCTCGCCGACAGGCTGGAAAGTGCCAAGCTCTGGCTGTGGGCTTGTGCACAGGTTGCATGATTCGCACACCGCTGTCATGCATGAGCAATATTCGGTAAAAGGGATCATGCGAAGGAAGATTTGAAAGAGACACACGGGCTCTCGCATGTGTCAGTTCGTGAGCTCCTGGCTCGCTCACAACATTTAGCAGTAAGAGGCCCTGCAGGCATCAAGGCTTATGTCAACAACGCGACGGACGAGGACCCATGCAACCGTGAGCTGAGTGCTGGTGAATTGGATGCTGCAGGCTGATTTTCGAGCACAGCTGATGATCATGAAATGCATCAAGTCGCAGTACCCGCATGCTGCAGTGATTGCAGAGGAAGATGAAAAGGACACGTGCAGAAGGAAGGGATGGAAGGCTGTGCCTTCTTCGAGGTGGGTTTGATTTTGCCTGGGTCGACCCTGTTGGTGGCACCAAAGACTTCGCACGTGGTTCCACCCTTTCCGCGAGCTCTGGGAAAGTAAGTACCATGCCGCCGGGCGGTGAGGGCTCGGGCTCGCGTTGCAAGGCTCCGCTCTCTGGAAAATCCACAGAGCTCGAGGCTGCGGCAACAAGCCTCTTCAGGTTGTCGAGCAAGGAGCAGATGTCATGCTACAGGCACCTGGAAGTCAACGATGGGATTCGGCAGCAATCCTGCGGGCAATGGCTGATGGCCTTGCTTTCCTGAACTCTTCACTGCAAGCATACGTAATGCCGACAGTTTCCAAGCGATCTGTGAACAGCACAAGTCCAGCCAAGCACTTGGATATGTGCGAGGGCGTGGTACGCACTGCACTAGACGAAGATTGCTCAAGCCATTCTGTCCAGTACAGCTCTCCTCTGCTTGGAATCAAGGGATCCTCCAATTCCGTGCAAAAGCTCGCTGCATGTGTCACTAGCAGCATCAGATTTAGGCGCACGTGTACGCGTGTGTGTGGTAGTTGGCCTAGTAAGCTCAAGGGTCGACCCAGGAAGGCTTTGGGACTTTCTTGGGGTTCCCTTTGAGTCGAAGAGCCCCGGTTCCATCTGTAGCAGAGCGCTGGCACCGGAGCGGTGCGAAAATCCCCGCAGATGCCCTGTCTCCTGCACCCGACACACGAGCTGACCGTCTATGGCAACTGCAGCCGTGTAGTGCAGTCAAGCGGGCAGGACGCTTCCGCTCAGTTGTTTATCCTCTTCGAAGCCTTGGAGATATAGTAGAGTCCAGTCGTTGCAGATGCAAGACAGTGGCAACCCATGAGACGCGTCAGCAGCAAGGCCAGCCCGGTGAGGGGGAGCGACGGGGTTGAACAGAGAACACCCAATCTGAGAGCATTGGACCTTCCTGTTTCACTCAACTTGGCCGATGAAACCTCGCAGGCAGGCAGCGGCCGTCAGTCTGCCATGCTGGCTGCGTTGCTGTGATTCAAAGTCCTGCGGCCCTATGCCCGGTTTGCACAGACCAGAGGGTTTAGGGTTTTTAAGACTTGAAGCAACTACTTTGAACAGTCCGAATGCCCAAGGTCCCCCGCAATCCGCGGCAGCCCGTGCCGTGCTGACAAGGTCCCAGCCGCTGTTTCAGAGTGGGGTGGGATCGGATGCTGAGTTGCTTTGGCCTTGGCTTGGCTCAGAGCGCGCCCTCGACCCACACCTAGCAGCGGGCCATGTCGAAAGTCTCGGTCTGCGACCTTGTTGGACGCTCCCTGCAGCTGGAGCTTCCAGGAACAGAGACCGGGAAAGGCATCAAAGATGCCGTGGCCAAGGTCTGGGAACTGGATCCCGTCAGCTTTCGCCTGCTTTGCAAGGGCGAGCGGATGGAGGAAGAGAGAACCCTGGAGAGCTTCCTTGGTGAAGAGGATACACTGGAGCTGCAGCTTCTGAAGTTCGACCCTCTCCTGGACCTTGGCATCTTTGAGAAGAGCATGCACAAGGGCATCGATCTTAAAGGTCCCCGCTCGAGCCTCAAGAAGACCATGGGGGTCCCGGACTCCAACAACGTCTTCCTGCGCCACAAGATCCTGGAGCCCTGCTTCTATGAGTTCGAGGTGATCCGGAGCCGAGATGAGATGTCCTTCGGCGTGACTTACGACCGGGAGTCCATGGAAAAGGTCTCGGGCTACTCGAACATCAATGCCAAGACCACCTGGATCTTCTCGAAGAAGGCGGCCATGCCTGTCTTCTTCTTCGGCGGAGAAAAACTGAGTATTTCCAGCGGGGGCCGCGAGGGCCACCCTGGTGTCCAGGAGGGCGACCTTGTGGCGGTCTACTGCGATCCGGAGAGTCGCCTTTGCGAGTTCTACTGCAACAGCAAGTTTCTGGCATCCACCGAGTCTCTGGAATCTCCCCTGCCGGAGTTCCAGGGAAGTCCCCTCTTCATGTACTGCATGGTGGACCAAATTGAGGATGAGGTCAAAATCAAGAGATTTGGCCCTGGCAGGCCTTACTAGGCCACTACTGTAGGCACTGCTTGGCCCCCTTTGTGGCGATCTCGCGGCGCGCGCGAAGTTGAAGGCCGCTCCAAGGCCGTGTACAGACCTGGCACCGAGCGGGCAAGAAACGAGTCTGTGCGCTCTTGAGCACTGCTCTTTTGCATCCACGGCCATGCTGGGCCACGCTGTTAAGCCCCCTTGAGTGAGAGAGAGAGAGAGAGAAAGGTTTGGTTCTGGACTTATAAGTACCCACAGGCTCCATAGTAGTTCCTTTTTGGGGTTCATATTTAGAATCCGATAAGGTAATTCGCAAAAAGGAACTACTTTGGAGCCCTATGATTACTGCGCGCCTTAATTGGCAAAATCGGTTCAATGCAGTTCTGGACTGAGAGGAAAAACTCGGCCCCCTTCAAGCTTAAGTGGGGCCTACACTGTAGGCCTCAACTCTTGAGAGAGGGACAAAGAGCGTCTATAGCAGTCCAGGGGCCCAGGGTTTCCGCGTTGTTTCCGCCACCTTTAGTAGGACAGGGAAAACCCGAAACATTCTCAGCTGCTTTCAGAAAAACATGTCCTTGATGTGCCCTGACGTGTATACTTCTCGGACACTGCGGCTTCCTGTCAAGGAGCCCCGGATCGCTGCGGCTCTGCACCGTGGACCTGACCCGAGGACGGGGCTTGTTTGGGGGTATCAAGTGAGCTGTTCTTGCAGGAGTTCCATGAGGGTAGCTAAAAGAGACAGCAACGATCCCGCTCCGAGCCACCGCTCTGACAAACCTATCAGTTTTGCACACAGCCGGATCCTGGTGGACCTGCGCTTGGTGTCGGGGCAATGCGCAACCTCGTTAGGGACAGGGCCAGTTCAGGATTTTGTGTCATGGCTTTGTGTTCAGCGCTGAGCTTAGGGCTAAAGGGCTCAATCCTTAACCCGTTGCGGCGGCCCAGATTCCGGGGACTTAGATTAACAGAGGCTTACGCATTTTAGGCCTAAAACCTTTCTTTTGTCACGTACTTGGCAAAATTTCTCTTTTTTTTTTGTGACTTAATTGGTTTTTTTGTCATTATTTGTTGTTAAAGGTTTTAGTTTGATCATGTTTGTTTTTTTATGTGATTGATTCAAATTCTGGNNGCGGTTCCTTCGTCTTCGACGCTGCTTTATTTGTTTTATTTGTCATCTTTGTTGTTAAAGGTTTTATTTTGATCATGTTGGTTTTTAAAGTGATTGATTCAAATTCTGGCACTGGCTTCCTGCTGTTCTACAACATCGCCCAGGCCCGGGAGGTCAAGCAATCGGGTGGCTGGGTGGGTGGTGGGTGGTGGGTGGGTGGGTGGGTGGGTGAGTGAGTGAGTGAGTGAGTGGGTGGGTTTAGGGGTGCTTGAGGGTCTGCGGGGTTTAGTGCATTTGGGTCTGGAGTTCAGGGGTTCAGGAGCTACGGGGTTCAGGGTTTAGGGTTTGAGATTGATAATTTTCGTCTAAGTGTCACGTGGTGCAAGACAGCATCAGAAATCGGCTGTCGGATGGTGTCTATCCATGGGCTGTCTCGGCGGCAATTCGAAATTGGGGCTTTGTCTATGGGGCTTGAAGACTGGGTTAGTGCTGTCCAAAGGCTTAGTAACGCTCGAGCCATGGTGTTGGTGGAAAGTGGTTTGTCCCTGGCTGCGTCAATTTGCCAGTGTGTGGCGACATGTGGCTTGGCAGCTCATGCGCTTCTGGAGCGGTTGCATCGCCAAAATGTGGCTCAAGCGTTTTTGTTCGTTTGCCATCGGTTCTCTGAAGGGTCAGCCATTCTAACAGTTCGTGTTCGCGGAACACACGGGACGCTGCAAAAACCGGTTGGAGGGAGTTTGTGGACTGTATAGCAGAGGAGTGGGCAATGCGCACACACATTGGCAAGCATCGATACACGTCCCAAAAAGTGCGGGATGCTTTGGGCAAGGCTAGCTTGAAGTTGCGCTGCCAGGCGCTTCAGCTGCACCAATTCGTCACGAGAACCAACAAGGAAACAGGCCAACAGAAGGTCCCGAGGCAGCGGCAGACTCGAGTGGCGATTGGGCAGCTGGAGGTTGAAGCAGCCCCCTTTCTGGTTCGTGACATAACGACATGGGGCAATCTTCCGCTCACACAGCTGTGCGTTCTGCCAGCGCCCGTCTTCAACGAGGACCGTGTTTGTGCTGTGTGGACCTGCCCGGGCATGATCCGTCGTGCCCAAGCAGCGCAAGGCAAGGTTGTGAAACTTGCCATCGATGGGAAGCAAGATGTCATCATCAACGGGTATACGGTAGCCACTCTGAGCTTCCTCGTTTGCAGCGAGTATGTTTCTCAGACTAGAGACGCTCGAGAGCACGAATCCAGCCGACCGAAGGTCCACACTCTGACGCAGGAGCCATTCGCGCAAGCGATGATGAGCACGGAGTCTGCGGAGAATGTTAGTCAGTTCTTCGTGACTGCTGCAGACCTAGCCAAGCAGCACAAGAGTGCTACTTGACATCTTTGACAGGCTTGCAAAGTGTCGACCCAAGGCTAGAGCCCGACCGCGAGAAGGCGCGGTGTAGGTTCCTTGGACAATCCATGCAGAAGTGTAGCGTAGTCTGACAAGCCAACAGAGAACGTATATATTTTCCTATAAGGAAAAAGCGGGTGGACGCAAAGACGAAGCCGTCAAGCGGCTGGACAAAATCATCACAGTCAGTCGAACGTTGCCAAGCCTGGTGCTCTTCGATGCGGTGTGGTCAGCGGCATTTGCATGGTTGCAATCGGTCAGCAAGAAGGCGGTGACCTATCTGCAGCAGACGTACTTCGACAAAGTAGTGGTGGCCGATCTGAGGAAGCAAATGCATGTTGGGGAACCGGTCAGCGAAATGTCGACTTGCTGGTTTGCCGGATTCTGGGCCGGCGTCACCGGAACGTACCCCGGCAGCGGCACCGGCACCCAACCGCTCGAAAGCTTTCACTCTTACTGGCACTTGAGGGTCAAATCTGCGGCGCGAACAACCCCGACGGAAATTTTCAGTTCCATGCAGAAACTCTTCGAGGAGGACTGGTGCAAGAAGTTTCAGTGGGCTGAGAGGCGCAGCTTCCTAACCTTGCCAGATAAGCTCACGATGGATTTACTTAACAGCCAGAGCCTCCGAACCGCTGGCCGATCGCCCGCAGTTGACTTCTGGAGTCACCGCGAGAAGAGGGTGACTGGATTGCGCAACTACTGCAAGCTTTGTTGGAGACGCACAGACAAAACCAGTGCTGCCACGAGAAAAAACTCACCAGACGTTCAAGCCCCCCCCACCCCCATTTTCCCCTCGGATATGGGGGTCAAAAAGGAGATGGGGGGGGGGGGTTGAAATAGAGCTAGGGGGGGTGGGGGGTTAGAAGGAAGCTGGGGGAGGGTTAAAAAGAAGAGGAGGGGGCGGTTCTGGAGAAGAGAGGGTTCAGGGGGTCAAACAAGAGCTTCCTCGGACAGGGGTTGCTGGGGGGGGGGGGGGGGGG